CAGCAGTTTTGGTGAGGTCCACATAAGCGTGGCATTTATAAACACAGCCCTGGGAATGCGGTTCTGCCATCCTGCCCCTCTCTGCCAGCTGGGGCACTGGGGCCCATCCCTGACCCACAGGGACACAGGCACCTGGGAGGGGACTGCTGGGGGTGCCTGAAAGCCTCAGCTGCTTCTGGTGGGAAGAATGGCTTCTCCTCAGTCCCAGTGCCATCCTCCCCCCGCTCCAGCACAGCCTCTTCACACTGGGCTCCGCAGGGGAGGTGAGTGATGGGCTCTGGGATTCCCCAGTGCCACCAGGTCCCCAGGCAGGACCGGGGATGGGCAGCATGGACTGATGAGTCCTTTGGGAGGGATTTGGGAGCTGGTGACATGATGAGCTGTGGGAAGGTTCAGTCCAAGGAGGGAAGGGGCCTTGTGTGGGCAGGGCTTGGGTGGGACACATGGGCTCGTGGGTTTGGATGGCTGTGGCACCTTCCCCACTGCTGTGACACATCCTATAGGGCTCATCCCATGTCCAAACCCCTCCAAGGGACTGGCATGCCCAGACTTGGGGAATGTGGGCCCTTAGAACCCCCAGGACCCCCTACTCTGAGCAGGAGCTCTCTGCAGAGACAGCCCAAGGATGGGGAGACCCTGGTATGTGGGTTTGGGGAGCTGTGGGACCCTGGCATGTGGGTTTTGGGTTTGGGAGACCCCAGACTGTGGGTTTGGGGAGCTGTGGGACCCTGCATGTGGGTTTTGGGTTTGAGAGACCCCAGACTGTGGGTTTGGGGGCTATTGGCTGCCCTATTAGACTCAAGCACAGGGAGCAGCCCAGGCATGGGCAGCCCTTCTGGGATGAGGCCAAAAGGCAGGAGCTACATCCCAGGTTTTCAGGGTCCACTCTGAGCACAGACCCCCCCAGCCCAGCTCATCCCTGTGCTGGAGCAGATCTTGGGGAGCACTGTAGGGTGCCTGATGTGGTTTATCCTTTCCACAGTGTGAAAAAATGAGTTTATTCCCAGATAGGAGTCTGTTTGGCTGTTTTGGAGAGGGGAGAGCAGAACTTCTGCCTGTGCTTGGTGGCTTTGGGAGTGGACCCTTGGGGCTTTGTCCCTTGGGATGTGTCACTGCAGTGAGGTGCTCCACTCCTGCACATGGCATTCCTCGGCCCAGCCACCGGGCTGGGAAGGCCCCCAGACAGACCCGTTGTAAGGGAGAGCTAAAAATAGACGTTCTCACGGCAGATGCAGGGAAGCATCCGAACGTGTGGCCTCTGGATGTGCCCGCAGACGAGGACGGGACTGACCCAGCCCCATCCCATGCCTGGCTGACACCCTGTGGTCTCCATGACCCCAAATCTTGCCCCCGACCCTCCTGTGAGCCTCCCGGGCAGCCGGCAGCCCCGGTGCAGGCAGTGAGGAGGTTAAGCTCCCCACGCCCGCCGGATGCAGCATCCTGGGCTGGGCTCTTTCCATCTTGTTTTGGTTTGGAGGAATAAAAGCTTTGGCAGCAGCAAAGCCGCTTCCCAAAATAACTCAGCCTCCCATGGTAATTATAGAGCTCCGGGCCCCGGTAGCGAGCGGAGGCTTCCCAGCCGGGCCGGGCCATTGGATCGCTGCTGCTGCCGGCCCGAGGGACCCCGGGGTGCCTCGGGGGCCCTGGGGACTGCTCCAGCTGCGCCACCCTCCCTGGGCGTCACCATCTCTCCCCTTGGCGTCACCTCGCAGACAGGGAGGCGCAGCCCCTGTGTCCCCTCCCGCCCCGCAGCTGATCCCTTCAGCTTTTAATGCTCCGTGTAAAGCCCAGGTTGCAGCTCCCCGGCCTCGATGGGCACTGGGCTACCGGAGCGAGGCGGTGGCAGGCGGGTGGCTGCTCCGGGCTGTGTCCCCGGCCGGGCTGACAGCTCCGAGCTCATCCCGCAGTGCCGGCCTGAGAACGGCCGGCTCACCCCGCAGTGCCCTCCCACCCCCGCTGCTCCTTGAAGGGCAGGGAGAGCCCAGGCTGAGCTCCTGGAGCCCCCAAGCCCCTAATCCCCGGTAATCCTGGAGGAAAGCGCTGCCTGTGGGGATTAGGGCTGTAAACAACCATCCTCACCTGCCTGCCCCTGCCTGCCCCTACCTGCCCCCGGCCGGCCAAGATGAGGTGCCAGGAGAGAAGGTCCCTGCCTGGACCACCCGAATACAGGATTGAGGTGGCCACCGGTGCTCTCTGAGGCTGTGTTGAGCCTGTGGTGGTTGTTTATGGGAATAAAGGGAATGTAGAACCATCTGGACACAGCCTGGATCTATAATATCTGAGGGAAAGAGATTCCAGGCAGTGACAAGGTTGGGGACAAGGCTGAGATAGTCCCTGTGGAGTCACACAGCTTTGGTCAGAGCATGACTGGGGCTGGATTCGTCTTCTCCTCATGGGGAATCACCACTGGCTTTTTTCACGGGCAAGGAAACTGAGGCAAGTGAGGGAGAAGCCCACGAGAGGGATGTGCTGGGAATGCATGTGACCTCGCCAGCTCCCTGGCTTGGAGTGAGTTTGAAGTGGGATAAGGGGCAGTTCTGAGGAGCAGCTGGGCCGGGAGACTGAAATTTGGGGAGGGCTGAGCTCTGCCAGCCTCTCGCCACGGGGAGCAGCCACTGCGGCCAAGGCTCCCCCGGCCCCTTTCACGGCCGGAACACGAGCGCCCCGGGCAACCCCGCCCGCGGTGCCAGCATCCTCCCTGCCCTCAGGGACACGGGACACAGCCGCGTGCCACTGCCACTCACATGGGCTCGGGGCCGGGGCATCTCCGGAAGGCGCTGCCATCCATCCCTGAAGTGAGATGGGGAGAGGGGCACAGCCAGCCGAGGGTCTGGGTCCTTTTGCCAGCCCACCGGGCAGGGGTAGGATGGCTCAGCAGCAGCCCCGGGAAGGGCTCCGGGAGGGGAAGGCAGGCTGGGATTTTGCAGAGGGAACACTGGGAGACTGGGATTCTGTGACCTGTGCCCATTGGAGTCTCCAATCCCTGGTACCCAGCAGGTGCTGTGGAATGTGTAGTGCTGGAGTGTTTTCCCAGTACCCAACACCCCCCAACTGGTGCCCAGTGCTCCCAAGAGCCAGTGGCTGGTGTGGAGCCCAGTGCCTCCTGCACAGTACCTGGTACCTGCAGGGCAATGCCCGGTACTGGTGCCACTGCCAGGAGGTCACTCACTGTCACAGGGGCCATTCCCTTTCACCTGCACCACTGACTGGCACTGGGGCCTTGTACCCACTGCCTGCACCGGGCCCTGCCAATGCCCAGCACCCAGTACTGGTGCCCTACACCCGGTGCACGTGCCCTGTCCCTGGTACTGGTACCCTGTCCCTGCTGCAGTGTCTTGTTCCTGGTGCTGGAGCCCTGTGCTCGGTGCCATGTGCCACCACCCTGTGCCACTGTGCAGCTCCCGGTGCCCGGTGAGCGCTGCCAGAGCTGGTGCCCAGTGCCCAGTCTCAGTGCCAAAGCAAGTGTCCAGGGCAGTGCCAGGCATTGATGCCAGAGCCGAATGCCAAGGCTGGATGCTGATGCCCAGTGCCCGGTGCTGGTACCCAGTGCGTGGTGCCAGTGCCCGGTGTGCGGTGCTGGTCCTGGTGCCCGGTGCGCATTGCTCGGTCCCGGTGCTGCTGCCTGTACCCGCGCGCAGTGCGCGGTGCCGGGGCCGGGGCCGGTGCCCGGTGCCGCTGCCGGTGATGCCGAGCGGCCGCCCCGCCCGCCCCCCCGCCCGGCCCGGGCTGCCCCGCAGCGCCCCGCACCGTGGCACGGGCCCGCTCCCGCAGCCCGGGCCCGCTCCCGCAGCCCGCTGCCCTCCGTGAAGGTGACGGTGCGCGGGGGCGGAGCGGACCGGGGCCGCCGGTGCCGCAGCGGAACGCGGGGGAAACACGGGCGGCGGGGCAGCACCTGCCGGCCCCGGAGGGCGGCAGCCCCGGGGGAGGCGGGGGGGCCACGAGCCCCTCACCGGAGCATCCGGGAGGGCAGCGCTCGGGAGCGTCACCTGCGTGTGCCCCGTCCTGCGCTCCTCCCACGGGTGTCCGTGCGTGGGCAGCGGGAGCCGCTCTGGTGCGGCTCCGTGCCGTGCATCGGTTCCCAGCTCTTGGCAGGTCCCCGGGCTGCGGCGCTGGTGGCACTGCCGGCCCGGCCGGGCCCTCGGCCGGGACCGTCACACGCACGGAGCCGGCTCTGTACTCACCGGCAAGGTCCGGAGCCGCCGCTGGCATTCCCAGCCCGCGGCAGCTTGCTCTGCATCTCCCGCTCTGCCTCGCTCCGCGGCGGCGGCAGGTCCCCAGGAGCCGCCCGGCCCGGCCACGTCTCCGCGGGGACCTCGGGCTGTGTCCAGGGTGGGGGTGCGGACAGAGGGCTGCGGCCGTGGCTCGCGTGGCACCGGCTTGTGGCTGCCGGGACAAGTGGCCTTGGTGGGGAGCGCCGCGGCCGCGCTGCCCCGGCAGCCGCCGTGGGAACCAGCCCGGCACATTCCTCCGGAGCTGGATGCAGTGAAACCAGAGAGGCTGGCGGAGCGTGTCGCAACGGAGCGCCTTCCCGACAGGCTCCAGACCGTGGCTGTGGGATGCACACATCAGCCTCGGAAACACCGGGAGGGGACAGCAGCCACAGCTGGGGACCGGGGGCAGCTGGGCTCACCCCGTGCACGTGGGGTGAGCTGGGGCTGGAGGTGCTCCAGAAGGAGCCGCAGAGGCAGAGCCGGTGTCCCCGTCACCAGTGCCACAGCCCTCTGTCCCCAAAGCAGTTCCCAGCTGGCCCAGAGGCAGCATGAGCACTGGTACCCACCCTGGGCTCTGCTCCCGGCTCTGAGCGGGTCAGATCTTGCCCAGCCCCGTGTGCTGAGATCTCACCTGGTTTCCAGCCCGGAGAGGCCTTGCTGTCATGTCCCAGCTCACGGGGAGCCATGGTCCCATCCTGGCGTCCCCACTCAGGTGCTGACAGGCCCTTCAAACTGTGGGAGAGGGGCTGGAGCTGCTGCACCAAGGGCAGTGGCTCTCATCCCCTATGCTCACCCAGAGCAGGGACCCACACCACAGCCTGCCCCAATCCTTGGGGTGCCCAGCACCCTGCTCCTCTTGGAGCTGCCGGGAGACTCAGTTTCCCATCTGGAATGCTGCTGAGGGGTGGGATGGCAGAGCTGGGGCTACCCTGATTCTGCGGCAGGAGCATCCCGTGCATCCAGAGGCGGGGCCGGGCAGGCACAGCCCAGTCCTGTCCCCCTGGGAGCGAGCTGGCCTGGTCCTGGCAGCGCTGGGCTTTCACTGGGGGCTTCTCCTGCGCGGGGTTCGTGCCTTTGGGACAGCGTTTGTGTCTGGGATGCTCAGCCACAGTGACACAGTGGCCGTGCCGCGGGTGGCATTCTGGGTGTCACCTTTAGAGGGCTTGGGAACGCCTGTCAGCCTGGCGGTAGGGACAGCACCTCGCCGGGATGTTCCCTTCCTTTGCCGGGGAAAACACCTCCCGTGGGAATGTGGTACCCGCGGAACGATGCTCGGGGCAGCCGGTGGCTCTCCTAGGTCAGGCTTTGCCCGCTGCCTCCGTGTCCCCCCGCGCCGCAGCCCTCGGGCTGTCACCGCGGGGACGGTGCGATGCAGAGTGACAGGCGGGGACAGGGCTGCGGGGCCGCTGACAGCCCGGGTGTGAGGCCGGCTTGCACTCAGCCGCGTGTGTAATCTGCTTACGGGGGCACCGACACAGCCCCGGGCTCTCGCTGCCGTAAATCCCCGCTCCTGCCGGGAGTGCAGCCTGGGACGCCGGGAAAGTGGCCGAGCGACCCTGGATCGCGCCTGAGCTGCTCTGATGCATCTCGACACGCATCAAGGTGAATCACCATCCCTGGTGACCCCGAAGTGACAGCTGGGGAACCCTGACTGCCACCCACGGCTGCTCCTGGGGCACTGTTAACCCTTCACCTCCCAGGGATGAGCCGGGAAAGCCGAGGCAGGAATGCTGGAGCTCCTGCCTGAGACCTCTGTGGTGGGCAGTGTCCCTGCTTCTCCCAGGCCAGGGCTGGGTCCTTCCCAGCCAGGCCCAGCTCGAGGAAGAGCTTAAAGCCACGTGGGGAAGCTTTAAGTATCAGGTGCAAAAGTGTGGGAAAACTGTGTTTCTGACCTCAAATAGGCTGTGCAGCCCTGCTGGGGAATGCTCCAGGTGGGCAGTGGGAGTGGACTGGGATGGAGACGAATTTCATCCCGGGATGGAGGGAGTTTTGTCCCAGGATGAGTGGATTTTTGTCCTGGGACAGTGGTGTTTCCAAAGACTGAGTGTCCTCCTGGGCTATAGCCAATCTGTGCATTCAGCCCAGGGGTGCTGGTGCTGCTGGTGGTGATGGTGGTGGTCTTGCAGCCCCCACCCAGGACCTCCCTTGGCCAGTGATGGCTGGTCCTTGAAACCTCCCCGGCCGGGCAGGAGCTGGGTTTGGCTCTGCCCGGGGGTCCCTCACCCCTGCCGTGCCCCTCGCAGGGGCCGACTCTGGCTCCTGGGTGCCGCCCGGCGCGGAGCCTGCCCAGGGTGGAGTTATGCTAATGCTGCTCCCCAGCCCTCGGCGCAGCCGGTGCCACTCGGCATCTTCTGCTGGCCACGGGCGACGCTGGCTGTGCCATGGCCACCTGCCCCGAGCTGCAGCCTGGGCAAGAGGTACGGGGGCAGCGCCCGTCCCCGGCGGGGCGAGAGAGGGGGCAGAGGGGGTGGGGGGCATGGACCGCCCCGGTTCTGCGGGAAGGTGCCACAGCTGATCCTCCGTTCCGAGACGGCCCTGCCGGGGCTGCACTTGCTGCGGGACCCCCACGGCTGCGGCGCGAACCTCGGTGCCGCGGCACTGCCGAAGTCATGGGCCTCGCCGGGGGTGGGAGACGAGGGCGAGCCCCAAAGGGCTGGAGCCCCGAGGGATGGAGCGGCAGCAGGGCTGGTGGTGGCATCACCTCCCATCCCCGAGAGACCCCGGCCGGGCTGCGCTGGGGGCTGGCGCTGAGGCCCCCCAGGTCAAGGGCAGGGAGGAAGAGGATGCTGCGGTCACACAGACCCACCGAGCACTCGGGGCAGTGGGGAGCGTGGGGGTCCCGCAGCCCCCGCCATGGGGCCACCTGCTGTCCCCCAGCCCGGCCCCGTGGTCCCCGCGCTGTGGCCGCGGGGGCAGCGGGAGCGGGGCCAGGCGTGCGAGCGCTCAGCCCGGGCAGCGCCGTGACCTTGTTTCCAGCCCGCTAATTCCGCGCATCTCGCCTTGCCGCCGGCACCGCTGCCCGCCCCGGCAGCGAGCGGGGACACGGCGTAGGGGAGGACACGTGTCCCCAAGGAGGGGTCTCGCCTCGAGGCCCCGGTCCGGGGGGGCAGTCCCCCAACGCGGAGCCCGCGGGGTCACGGGCTCCCCCGGCCCCTGCGTGCCTCTCGTTTGGGGCTGGGGTCGCCTGGCAGTTGCCTTGGGATCTTGGGGACGTTGGTGCCCGCTGGCAGCGGGGCTTGGTCCCACAGGAGCCGCTGCCGGACGTGCCCTTGGGAACGCGTCTCCTCCCGCCAGCGCTTGTAAACAGGATGTGGAGCCATCCCGATCCCGGCGTTCCCGTCCCTCGTCCCAGCCCCGCCACCCCGGGGGCAGCAGCTCGGGGGCAGCTGTGCCTGTGCCCCCCAGCCCCGCCCGCTGCCCGCGCCCCGCTCCAGGGCAGAGCCAGGGGAAGGAGGTGTCGGGGTCCTGGTCATGTCTCTGGGCCGGCTCCCCTGCCCTGGCCTTCTCCCGGGACTGCGGGGGCCCCTGTGCTGGCACCCCGTGAACGGCAGCGGGCGGGGGGCAGGGGCGCCAGGGGAGCAGCCCCGCTCCGGCCGCCCCCAATCGCTCTTCCTCTCTTCTTGGTGTGTCTGCCTCCTCCCGGCCTCTCCCTGTCCTCCTGGCAGGCCGTGGGGCGCGGGGGGGTCCTGGCTGCCCCAGAAGACCCCGAGGATCGGCGGGGTGCCCAGGGGGAAGGTGCCTGCCCCTGTCCCCCGGAGTGCCAGGAGCTAGCTACGCCGCAAGTCGTAAGCGCCCGAGGGGCACGGGACCACGGCTGTCCCCGCTGCCATCCCCACGGCTGTACCCGTGGCTGTCCCCAGGGTGGTCGCTGGTCTCCTGGGGTGGCCGTGTCCCATCTCTCCTCCCATCCCTGCCACCTTTAGGCTGCATGTGTCTGGCTGCTGCGGTTTGGGGGCTTGTGAGGCTGAGCTGGGGGGTGCCACATCAGGCTGGCACTGCCACCACCAGTGTCACCTCCTCCTTTGGTCCCCAGATAAAACGTTTCCTGAAGGAGGACTCGGACGAGGCTGAGCTGACGCAGTTCCTGCGGGATTGCCCAGCAGCTGACAGCTCCCGGAAGGTGGAGGTCCCGGAGAGCCGGCGGGAGCCCGGCCACCCCCTGGGCAGCGTGGCCAGGGTCCCCCCAGACGAAGCCAGTGACGAGAGGGACACCAGGATTTTCTCCCGCTCCCGGCCCTCGGATTTCCAGCAGCACATCGCCGCGCCCCCGCCCCCCAGCCCCAACCGCCCGCGGAGCCCCTGGGGACAGCTGGACCCCTACGACTCCTCCGAGGTGCAGGATGTGTCCCTGGGGAGGGGGGGACACACGTGGGGCGAGGGGCTGCAGGATGGAGGATGTTCCCATCCTGTGAACACAAAGGCTTTGTGCAGGCATGGCCTCATCCCCTGGAACTCCAGCCCTGGGAATCCCTTTGTGCGCCGGGGGAAGGAGGTCTTCCCAGGGTAGGAGGTGGGCTGGCAGCGTCCCTGTCCCACATCCCCTGTCCCTCTGCAGGATGACAAGGAGTACGTGGGCTTTGCCACGCTGCCCAACCAGGTGCATCGCAAGTCGGTGAAGAAGGGCTTTGACTTCACCCTCATGGTGGCAGGTATGGGGGTACAGCTGGCCTGGGGGTGCTGACCCCACTCTGCATCCCAAACACCCTGCGCTGGGGAGGGGGGGATCCTGGCTGCCCCCCTCATCTTTGTGCTGCTTTCTCAGGGGAATCCGGGCTGGGCAAGTCCACCCTGGTCAACAGCCTCTTCCTGACGGACATGTACAGGGACCGCAAGCTGCTCAACGCCGAAGGTCAGGGGGACAGTCATGGCCCAGAGGGGTGTCCTGGGTGACCGGGGCAGTGCAGAGCCCAGAGATGCTCCTGTGGGCTGCAGCCCCTCTCCCTGCCCCTGACACGACATGTGCTGTGTTGCCAGCTGCCCACTGGCACTGGGGACCACTCTGAGGCAGTGGGGACACCCCTGGACAAGAAGGGGACCCCCATGGAGACTTTATTTCCACGGCAAAAACAAGCCCTGGCTTGTTGGGGATTGGCTGGAGCTGCAGCTTTTCTGGGAGGCTGGGGATAGTCAGGGCCTGGGGCACAGTGCCAGTTCATCTACAGCCAGTTTTTGAATTAAAATGGCCCAAACTTGCCCAGATCCCCAGGAGTTCAAGGAGTTTCTTTGATTTGTTTCCGCTGCTTGGAGTGAAAGCCAAACCACACAGTGCAGCAGGAGCATCCTTGGGGATGCAGGGACATGGAGGGTCCTGGGGTGAAGGGGCATGTGCAGTCTGGAGCTGCGGGGTCCTGCAGCAAGGCCCAGCCCCAGCAGACCCCTGTGCTGCTTGAGCTGGGGTCCTGGGGTGGCAGTGGCACAGCCACCAAGGGATGGGTGCCCATCCATGGGGATGTGGGGGCCGCAGCATGGAGCATCCTCTCCTGGCCTGGAGCATGGCGTGTGTCAGGCTGATCCAGCCGGGTCACCCAGCCCCCAGGGTGGGGCTGACACTTGGGGGTTGCAGCATGTCCCCATGTAACCTCCACCCTCCCTCGTGTCCCCCCTTGTGACGTGTGTCCCTCCCCACAGAGCGCATCACGCAGACGGTGGAGATCACCAAGCACGTGGTGGACATCGAGGAGAAGGGGGTCAAGCTGCGCCTGACCATCGTGGACACGCCGGGCTTTGGGGACGCCGTCAACAACACCGAGTGGTGAGTGTCAGGGGTGGGGACTGTGCCCAGGGTGGGTGGGATGGTGAGTGCCACAGAGTGGGGACTGTGCCCAGGGTGGGTGGGATGGTGAGTGCCACAGAGTGGGGACTGTGCCCAGGGTGGGTGGGATGGTGAGTGCCATGGGGTGGGGGTCTCCCCAGGGCAGACACCCCATGGTGGGTGGGATGCCCTTGGTTCACTGGGCTTAGGTGCTGAGCCATGGAGGTACTGAGCTGAGGGTCCACAGAGAGCAGGGGGTCTCACAGAGGACTCGGTGTCACCTCGCTGTCCCTGCAGCTGGAAGCCAGTGGCTGACTACATCGACCAGCAGTTCGAGCAGTATTTCCGTGACGAAAGTGGCCTCAACCGGAAAAACATCCAGGACAACCGAGTGCACTGCTGTATCTACTTCATCTCGCCCTTTGGCCACGGGTACGGGCAGCCCTGCCCGCGCTGCCGGGGGGCAGGGCAGGGGCTCGGTGGCACGGGGCTCACCAGGCTCCCCCCGCAGGCTCCGGCCCCTGGACGTGGAGTTCATGAGAGCTCTGCACCAGCGCGTGAACATCGTGCCCGTGCTGGCCAAGGCTGACACCCTGACCCCCGCCGAGGTGGAGCGCATGAAGAACAAGGTGAGGGGAGGTGGGCCAGCTGGGAGCTGTCCCAGCAGGTCCCCGGGCATGGGGGTGCCCTGGGGTCTCCATCCATCTCCTGCCTGGAATTTGCCCTGGAGCATTTTCCAGGCTTGAATCACTGTAGAGGACCATGTTGCCCCTATGGCCACCAAGGACACATCTGCCCAGGGCTCAGCTGGGGGTTGGAAGGACTGGGGGGTGTCCATGACATCTGGTCTGGTGGGACATGGCTTTTGGGGGCCCTGTGTGGTGCCTCCCACACCCTTCCCAAGGCCGGAGCCCTGCCCTCAGGGAGCTGTTTGCCTCCAGATCCGGGAGGAGATCGACCACTACGGCATCCGCATCTACCAATTCCCTGAGTGCGACTCGGATGAGGATGAGGAGTTCAAGCTGCAGGACCAGGCACTGAAGGTGGGTCCAGCTCTTCCAGCTCCGTCACTGGAGGAGCAGAGCCCTGTGTCCAGGAGGACACGTCACCCTGGGGTACCTGCAGGACTCTTTGGGGCCACGCAAGCTCTCCAGCATGGAGGGGCTGGCACATATCTCAGTACCCAGACATGTCACCAAGATCCCATGGGTGACACCTGCAGCTTGGTGGGGAAAACCCATGCCACGACCTCTGCTGTCCCAGTGGGCTCTCCACAGCCGGGCCTTTGGAGTATCTTGGCAAATGGGTGCTGGACACAGCCGAGAAGGGCGTGTGGAGGGATGCGGGTCCTGGGAGCTGGGGGTCATGGCAGGGCCCTGCTGATCCCCCCGCCCTTGCAGGAGAGCATCCCCTTCGCCGTTATCGGCAGCAACACGGTGGTGGAGGCCAAGGGCCGGCGCGTCCGCGGGCGCCTCTACCCCTGGGGCATCGTGGAAGGTAACGCTGGGCCGTCCCCGGCGGCCCCGGCCTTTGGGGACAGGGACACGGCGCGCCCGTCGCAGCCCCGGGCCGGGACGGGCTGTGCCCCTGACCCCGCTCCCCCGCAGTGGAGAACCCGTCCCACTGCGACTTCGTGAAGCTGCGGACGATGCTGGTGAGGACGCACATGCAGGACCTGAAGGATGTGACACGGGAGACGCACTACGAGAACTACCGCACGCAGTGCATCCAGAGCATGACCCGCATGGTGGTCAAGGAGCGCAACCGCAAGTACGGGCGGGCCGGGCCGGGCGGGGGGCTCCTCCCTTTGGGGTGACCCCAGCCACTGCAAGTGGCGGTGTCGACAGGTCAGGGCTGTGCGTGGGCCGTGCTGGGGAGCCCCGGTGAGGTGAAGGGTTCCTCCTTGGGCTGGGAGTGCCTGGGGTGCTCAGGCAGTGAGGGGGCCCTGCAAACCCCGAGGCTGGCTCTGTCTTAGCTGGGATACTCCACCGCTGTGACCCTGGGGTGGCTGGGGGCATGCTCTGGTAGTCAGGGGCCCCTGCATCTCCCCAGAGCTGGGGCTGGTTTAAGGAGCATGTTCCAGCAGTGAGGGGGACCCCATGTGCCCCCAGGGCTGGGGCCAGGGTGTGCTCTGGCAGCAAGGGGACCGTGTGTCCCCTCTGGGCTGGGTGTGTCTCGGGGGATGCTTCAGCACCGAGGGGGATCCTGCATCCCCTGGGGCTGGCTGTGGGGGGATGCTCCAACAGGGAGGGGGCCCCTGCATCCTTGCAGGCACCAGAGCAGGAGCCCAACAAAAGCAGGTGCTGGGGCTCTGCTCCTGGATCAGCCGAATTCACGGCACCCACATCCACTTTAGCCACCCCGAGGTGCTGAGGGAGCCCCCACAAGCAGGGCCCCTGCTGGGACCCTCCAGCCGGGGGTCAGAGCAGTGTGGGGGCGAGTGGGGGCTCTGTGGGTCCCGGGGCACTGGAGCCGTGCTGTGGGGGGCTGGCAGTGGCTATAGGCACCTCTAAGTGTCTCTCCCCGTGTGCCCCGGGCAGGAGCCACCCCTCCGTGCTGAGGCTGTGCTGCGGGGACAGCTCTGCCGACTGAGCCGGGACCGGCCGGCCCGCGCTGGGCCTCGCCCTGCTTGCCCTGCCACCCCCTGGCCCCTCTATAAAAGTGCTTGTTGGTACCCAACGCTGTCTTGGTCCTTCTGTGCCCGAGCAAGCCCAGGCAGCTGCCCTCGGGGTGAGCCGGCCCTGTGGCCATCCCCCGTGGCTCTGTGGCACACAGCTCTTGTCCCACACAAGCTGCCCTTGGGGTGCCAAAGGACGCTGTGTGCTTGCCCTGCCACCCCCTGGCCCCTCTATAAAAGTGCTTGTTGGTACCCAACGCTGTCTTGGTCCTTCTGTGCCCGAGCAAGCCCAGGCAGCTGCCCTCGGGGTGAGCCGGCCCTGTGGCCATCCCCCGTGGCTCTGTGGCCACCCACACAAGCTGCCCTTGGGGTGCCAAAGGACGCTGTGTGCTGGTGGTGTCACCCCGGCTCACCCAGCTTTGGGGGATGTGTCACTGTTTGGTGGCACTGAGCCCCCATCGTGCTGCCCTCCCAGGGATGTGATTTTGGGGTGCTGAGAGCTTTTGCTGCTCAACACATTGTGCTGTTCGGCTGCAGCTCCGTGTCGCTGCCAGGGCTGCCAGGGGCTCCCCACGGCCCCCACGGCCAGAGCCGAGACAACGGCAGCGCCTTCCAAAGCGCTCCCGAGGCGGCCAAACCCCGGCCCTGGCGCTGGCCCAGCCCGGCACAGCGGGACCCCCGGGCAGGGCTGGTCCGTCCTGCCCGGGACAGGGCTGGTCCGTCCTGCCCGGGACAGGGATGGCCCGTTCTCCCCGGGACAGGGATGGCCCGTCCTGCCCGGGACAGGGATGGCCCTCCTGCCCGGGACAGGGCTGGTCCGTCCTGCTCCAGACAGGGGATGGCCCGTCCTGCTCCAGACAGGGGATGGCCCTCCTGCCCGGGACAGGGATGGGCCTCCTGCCCGGGACAGGGATGGCCCGTCCTGCTCCAGACAGGGATGGCCCTCCTGCCCGGGACAGGGATGGCCCGTTCTCCCCGGGACAGGGCCGGCCCGTCCCGCCCGTGCCCCAGCCGTGCCCATCGCCCCTTTGCCCGCAGGGGCCGCGGCGTGTGGCGGTGGCACGTGGCAGCACGCGTGACGCTGCCAGCCGCTGTTGGTGTCCCGGCCTTGTCACCCGCTGGGGTGGCACGTGGCATCCACAGGGACGGGGGAGGGCCGGTCCCTCCCGGGGCCATGGGGAAGCCATCGGCTGGGGGATGCTCGCGGCTCCCTCCGGCAGGAATGGGCTTGAATGGGAGCAGAGGCTCGGGAAAAGGGTGTGGGGCATCCCTGGGGCTGTCGAGTGCCTGGTGAGCCCATCCTGAGACCGGGGGACAGAGGGGAGATGCCGAGGTTTTGACGTTTTAAAGCAGCAGGGAAAATGCTGCCCATGGAGAGACCAACCCCAGTGGGATTCCCCTCAAGATGGGAGGGTGTGGAGGAAGTCCCTGGGTCCCCCCTTGGTTGGTGCATGGCAGGTTGGGGGTGCTGAGATTTGGGGGCTGCCTGGGGCCATTCACATCTCCCTTGCTTGGAAAAAAACCACTCTGATGGTGGCCATGGGCCCAGGGCTGTGCAGGGCTGCTGGGGACATGCAGGGGCTCCGCGGGGGAATGTCCCTGGGGGGCTGGGGCAGCACCCTCACCTCCTCTCTCTGCCCACAGCAAGCTGACCCGGGAGAGCGGGACAGACTTCCCCATCCCTGTGATCCCCCCAGTGCCGGACGTGGAGACGGAGAAGCTCATCCGGGAGAAGGATGAGGAGGTGAGTGTGGGGCGGGCTGAGCCCCAGACCCCCATCCCCGCTCCCTCCTGCCCCGGTGATGGCACAGCCACTGGGAGCCACCCTTCCTGCAGCATCCCGGTGGCTGCTACTCCAACCAGCAGGGTCTGGAGGTGCATCCAGGTTCCCCCTCCCTAGCTGCTGCCGATCCCTGTTTGTCTGGGATGCTCAGCCCGAGCCCCATTTGCATGGGAGCTGCGTGGCTGGGGCTCGGCACCATCCGCGATCCCGGCTCTGCTCCCTTCCAGCTGCGGCGGATGCAGGAGATGCTCCAGAAGATCCAGAAGCAGATGAAGGACTCGCACTAGCCCGTCCCTCCTCCTCCTCCCCCTCCTGGCCCCGATCAGAAATGTTTACATCGCGCTCCACCCGCCCGGCCCCGCTGCCAGACTCGGTACCGACACCCACCCACCACCTTAAGCTGCGGCATCGCCTTACGCAAGCACCCAGCGCCCGCGGGGACCAGGGCACAGCGAGGGGACACCAGGGCACAGCGAGGGCCAGGGCCTCTCCTGCCCCGCTCCTCTCCACTCACTGGGGACAGCTTGGTCCCCCAAGCTTTGGTTTCCCATTCCTCCACAGCTCTGGGGAGGGCCCTGGCCAGCCTGGTCCCCACAGTGTGTCCCTTGTCCCCGTGTCACCCTGGGCTCCCTGCTTACAGCCTTTATGCTCAGCTTGGCCCTGGCTTAAGGGAAGAGGAAAGGGGGGCACTGCTGCCAGCCCCCCAAAGGCCCCAGCTGCTGTGGGGGACGGGGCTGTTCCCCTGCCCTTGGCTGGCATGGAGGGACAGCAGCTCCTGGGAACCACAGGGGACAGAGGGGATGGACAGCCAAGGGACAGCTCCATCCTGCTCCATGCCAGCACCAGTGCAGGGGGACAGAAGCTTGTCAGTGTCCAGCCCTGTGTCCTTACCCTGTCCTCACTGAGTGACAGCAGGGCTGTGGCACAAGGAGCACTGGGGAATCAATGTTGCCAGGGAAAATCCCTTGAACCCCAAATCAGAGGCTGGGCACCCCAGCCTGCCGTGATGTTGGCCCTGTAAAGCAATAATGAGTGTCCTCTGCCCGTGGCACCTCTCACCCCATGGCAACAGCACCGGCCCTGGCTGGAATTTCAGCCCCTGCTGCCACTTGCTTTTCTGTGGTGTCCTGTGTGCCCAGGATGTCCTTGTCCCTGCTGCTTCTTGGCACAGCAGCCCCGTGTATTCTCCAAGGATGTACCCATCTGTGCTGCTTCCCAGCGAAGCGCTGCTGCGTGTCCCCATGTCCCCCACGGTGTCCCCATGTTCCCCACCGTGTCCCACTTGGTTTTGCTGCCCTACAGAGCACTGCAGCTTCTCCCCCCTGCTCAGACTGTCCCCATCTGTGTTGCTTTCCCACAGAGCTGTGTTGCATCTGTGTGTGCCCCTGGGATGTCCCCAGCCATGTCACCACCCTGCAGGGCTCTGTGTAGTGTCCCTGTGTCCCCAGGGATGTCCCCAGCTGTGTTGCTTCCTGCAGAGCCCCACTGTGTGTCCCCAGGGCCGCCTCTCGCAGCATCCCTGGGGAGATGGGTCCAAACCCCTCCTGGGTCTGGGAAAGCCCGCAGGGCATGGTGAGGATGCAGGCAGGACTGGGAGCAGTGGGAGCTGGCTGCCGTGGGGATGTCCTGTCCCCATCAGGGCCCCGAGCTGGGGCGTGGCTGGCAGGGGCTGTGCCCGGCCGGGGTCAGGGCTGCAGGGTGCCCGGGCAGCACCCAGCCTGTGCCCCCCGTGTCCCCGTGCCAGCGGGGGTCCCGTGGCCCCCGTGGGCAGGGTCCCCCCGGGCAGGGCCCTGCAGGGAATATTTAGTGCTTTCCTTTTTTTAATCTTGCTATTTTCTTACAGAAGCCCCTCCCCTGGCATGACGGTCCTAGAGGCGTTTATTAACGGATCAGAGAGTATAGGTTTATAAATTCTTATAGAGTAGTGGAAATATTTTTATCCCTCCACAACCGTTCTCAATAAATACGGCTGACCTGGCTTGTCTGCAACCCCTTGTGGCTTCCACCGAATGGGGGCACCCCATGGCCCTGGGCACCCACATCCCTGGGCACCCATGTTCTGAGGCTGGTGGTGGCCCACCCTCTGGTCTGTTGATCCTGGTCCCTTAGCAAAGGCTCAAAATGGATAGTGGGGGGGGTGGGGGGGTGGTTTGGACACCCAGCTTGGGGTGTGGTGGGAGAGCCTCTTGGGATCCAGCTCTGGGATGAGGGGGCACAAGGAGGCTCATGTGAGAGCAGCTCATGTGATCTCATCTCATGTGCCCTGGGGTGCTGCGTGCTGCTAGTGTGGGGCTGGGATGGGAGTGGGGAGGACTGAGGCTGAGCAGGGGATGGAATTGCCCTCCACATGCTGCCCCCAGGCACCACTGTGTCCCCCACCAGTGGCGAGCCCTGCCAGGAGACACCACCAGCCCCTGTGCCCAGTCACCCCAGTTTGGGTCCCCTAGGACCTGCTGGGGTGGAGGAACAGGAGGAGGGGGCAGAGGGATGGATGGGCTGCATCTGTGGTTGCCTCCCAGAGGGCATCATCCACCTGCATCCCATTATCCCACCCTGCACCCCGACATCCCACCCCTGCCCCTGCATCCCCTCCCTCTCCTCCACACAGAGCCCTTGGGCTGATCCAGCCCAGCTGAGGCCACGGGACATCCCCAGGGCCAGCACAGACTGGGGATGGATGGATGGATGGATGGATGGATGGATGGATGGATGGATGGATGGATGGATGGATGGATGGATGGATGGATGGATGGATGGATGCTGGGGGTTCTGGTGGGTGACAAATGGGACATGACCTGGCCATGGGCACTGGCAGCCCAGGAAGCCAAGTGTCTCCTGGGCTCCTCCCCTCATGGTGGGCAGCAGGGGAGGGAGGGGATGCTCCTCCTCTGCTCTGCTCTCCCGAGCTCCCTCTGGAGCTGCCTCCAGCTCATCCCAGCACAGACATGGAGCCGGTAGAGCAGGCCCAGACCCAAAATGGTCTGAGGTGGTCCATGGTCTCTGCTGTGGAGGAAAGCTGCCTCATGGGACCTGCCAGCCACTTCTCCCCTTGCTGGGGGTCAGAGCATGGACCCCACCTCCTTGAGGTCCTTCCAGCCTTTACCAGCACTGCCTCGGCCCTGCACCTTGCCTGGCCCAGGGTGCTGAGCCCTGCTGTGGCTGTGATGCCAATTCCTGCTCTTCACCAGGCCAAACCCCCCCATCCCCTCCTATGAACCCTCTTACCAACATGGGGATGGAAAATGTTTGTGCTTCCTTGGCTGGAAGCAGCTCTCACCCCAAAGGCTGGGACACACAAACCTCCCATATCCCATATCCCACCACTGCAGCTCCAAGAAGGATCCCCTGGCTGCCTCTTCCTCCCCAGAATAGCCAACAGAGCCTCTGCTTTTGGTCCCAGACTGGCTGATTTACCTGGTTCCCATTTTCCCAGAGGATAAAACCCAGCACTGATGCTCCAGTGACATCCCCAGCTGTGCCCACCCTTCCCTGCACTCCATTCCATGTGATTTTCATCACACCTTTAAAAATAAAAAGTCCCAAACCCACTCAAACCCAGCCTTCCCAAGGCAGAGATTGATATTTCTACACGGCAAATGCTTCCATGCAATTCCCCAATGTCCTATTTTTGGTTTCTCACCAGTCCTGGCACTGGTTGCAGCATCCGTGCTGGAGCTCCAGCCGAGCTCAGAGGAAGGGAATGAAGGTTCCTTAGGGCAGAAAAGGAAATCTCTCATCTCCTTCCCTGGGCTGTACCACCCATGCCTGACACCTAATGAGGTGTCACCTCAGGTGACATCAGTCCTGTTGTTTCCCGTTTCCCCTTCATTTCCCTTTCCCTTTTCCCCTTCCCTTCCCTTCCCATTAATTTGTTCCTTCTATAATTGAATATATTTTCCCCTATGGGAGAGCCCCTGCAGCCCCACCTTTTCCCATCTTTTCAAATCCAGAAACCAAGGCGCTGCCTCCAGTTCTTTCCCCCCCACTCTAGTACCTCTTCTCCACTTGTCACATCCATTCCTGGTGCCATCTCTCCTGGATCCAAGGGAGCCAGGAGCAGTCATTCCGATTGCTCCCATTCCTGTCTCTCCCAGATCCAAGGGAGCCAGGAGCAGTCATTCCGATTGCTCCCATTCCTGTCTCTCCCGGATCCAGGGGAGCCAGGAGCAGAGCCAGGAGCAGTCATTCTGATTGCTCCCAGTCCCATCTCCCAGTGCCCGGGAGCTGCTGGCTGGGGGTGACAGCCCTTCCCTCTGTGACGAGGGGGGTGGGATGCGGTGTCTGAACACATCCAGCGGATGCTCCTGATGGAGCAGGTAGTCCTTGGATCCCCTGCTCAGGCCAGGAGGAGCTCAGAGAAGTGAAACCCCATTGCTGCTGCTCTGCCCCTCCTGTAAAGGCAGCTAAACCACCCCTGAATTACCTTCCAGCCAGAAAATGGGACACAGGCTGGAGCCTCCAGCCAGCTCCAGCTCTTCCATACCTTTTCCCACTTGCCTGTTCCCCACAGCCAGTGTGGAAAGACCAGACCAAGAGCTTGACACATTTCTCGGGCTGGGAGAGCTGGCTCACCTGGAGAGTAGAAGGCTCCAGGGAGAGCTCAGAGCCCCTTGCAGGGCCTAAAGGGGGTCCAAGAGAGCTGGAGAGGGATAGGGGACAAAGGATGGAGGAACAGGACACAGGGAAATGGCTTCCCACTGCCAGAGAGCTGGGATAGATGGGATATTGGGAAGAAACTCTTCCTTGTGAGGGTGGTGAGGCTGCGGTGGGCACACAAGAACACGACATGAACAGATGGATATACAATTACAGCCTGGTCTTTACTTGCAGAAGAGCCCACCTGTGGCTGTGGATTCTGGGAAGCTCCATGAGATGCCTTTACTGACACGTGACGTTATTTCTGGAGCTTCCCTGAAAAACCTCAAGTTGTGCTGTATTTTGTGAAGATAATGCCCATTCCACGGGACCCACCAGGAGCAGTGCTGAGAGGCTGGGGAGCGGCAGCTGTTCCTCCCCTCGGTGGTGATGTCATTGATGATGCCAGCACAAAGCACAGGGACCGAGCAGAACAGGCAGGGAAAGGCTGCTCTGACCCTGACACTCCCCTGTGGAGGGGACAAGGTGCCCCTGTCCTGGCTCTCTGTCCAGGAGTAGAGGCAGAGCCCCTCAGTTCCAGCTGTTCTTGGAGAAACAGCACCATCTATTTGCAGCACGAGGGGAGAGGGGACACGGTGGGTGCCCCTCAGCAGGACTACAGATCCCACCCTGGAGCAGCAGCTGTCCTTGGTCACACTAGGACATTGCTGACCCCCAGACCCTCCTGCAGCCCTGGTGACACCTGGGGCTTGCTCCAGGGTCAGGGCAGGAGTTGCAGGACATGCATGCAGGAGCAGCAGGGGGAGAGGCTCCAGGCTGGGGGCTCAGCTCAGCTTTGGGTCTCTCCTTCCCGGGTAGACTCTGCTCTTCTGCTCCCATGCACAGACATGAGGACCCACACCCTGGGACCCCACAGGACTCAGCCATTCCCCACATCTCCCCATCACCGGCTCGGACAGGCTGCAGCCCCTGAGGCATCAGAGGTCCTGGGAAGGTGTTGGCCCCACAGCACCAAGGGGGAGAAAGCCACACCAGCCCCAGCTTTGCTCCAGGGGCTGAACCTGTCCCTAACCCAGCCCATCCCCACCTCCAAACCTAGCTCAGAACCCCTCAGGATGGACCCCAACCTGTTGTGAGTGACAGAAGTGACCTAGGACCATCTGTTCCAGCTTTACCGTGGAACTGGGAGGAACGAAGATGTGGTTTATTAAACCTGCTGGGAAAAGCAGACTGAGAAAACTCAGCCCAAGGTGCTCCTGCTGGGGAAAGGGTACAGGGGGTGGCCTGAGGCCTTCAAAGCTCCCATGGAGAAACCACTACTTCTTCTTGCGACGTCTGGTGTTCATTCGGATCAGCTGCAGCCCCTGCTTCTTGATGTCCTCCCGGCTGGGGATGTTGTCATGCTCTTCATCCTCAAAATCCAAGGTGTCTGGAGAGGAGAGTGGAGAGAAGGGGTTGGGGAGGGTCTATGCCCCTGTCTCTGGGAGAGCTGGCACATTTTATTGGGCTCGTGGGATACGGGAGAGTCCTCATGGGCCTTTCCACCCCAGCATCCCAGGTGACCTGTGGGACCTGGTGATGCCACCACTGTCACCATCTCCAACACTGCTGGGGCTTCCTGTAAAGGTCTGGAGCTGCAGTGTGGTGGGCACAGCTCCTGTTTTGCTAAAGAAAGGTGGTGAGCTGCCCAAAGCTCTTTGCCTCTTCCAGAAGCATCCACAGGCAGAACCGAGCACTGATTATTCTTCACATCCAGGTGATTTTGGAGATGAGGGTGCTCCCTCTTGCCCCACAACATCTCTCCTTGTTCCTGCAGTGGCTTGGTGCTCATCCTGTCACCACCTGCCTTTGTTCACCCCCACCCCTGCCTAAAAACATCACCCACATCTGAAGCCTTGGAAACAGCCAAGGTCAGCCTCAAGACCTGGAGGCAATTTGTGGGTTGGTGTCCACTGGGAGACAGACATGGACTCCCAAAAAGCCCAGGGGAAAAGGGCTGGGACAGTCACTGTGGGACATGTCCCCACTGTGCTCTCCTACCATCTTCCATAGCGTTTTCATCCTCAAAGGAAATCCTCAGGTTCCGTGTTTCACCTGCAGCTCTTTTCTCCAGAAGGCTCCTGACCTTGGCAAAAGTCTGTGAAACACAGCCTGGGTTAAGTGCTGGAGGGCAGGTGGGTGTTACAGCCCAAGGGTGCCACACCTGAGCACCATGGGCTGGCACCATGGGTGCCTGGTGCCATCTGGGGCTGAGCTGCTCCATGGCTCTTCCCTGTGGCCTTGCTGAGGTGGCTTGGGTGGCCGTCTGTGAGGGCCCTGTGTGTGTCCCCAGGGCCACCAAGAGCCAGAGCCCCCGTACCTCACTGCGTTCATCAGTGCTGTCCT